AAATTTGTAATAATTTGATAAAATTTGTCTTCTACTTTATTGTAAGGCATAAGTACAGGACGGTCGTAATTAATATTATTAACTTGAGTCGAGTGAGTTAATCTCAATTCAAGCATAATTCTTCTATAAAACACAATGACTTTATGATTACTTTTATTAATAGTATATCGTTGTCTAACGCGACATATCTCATTCAAGGCTATTATTCCGGACTATTATGCTTATCATCACCGCGATAATGCGCGCGTAATATAATGGCAAGTTGCATACCGCTCGCACATGTCATATAAAGAAAAACAATAATAATATGAATATCTTTACACAAAAGTAATAATATAAAAAGGCAAATAATAATAAAATGTAAAAGCAATTTAAATACAATGAAGTAAAGGGCATCCAGAAATATTTTCTTTATAATTAGTCACAAAGTTTCGTTCAAGCTGTAGTTATAAAAATATATTTACCGAGCATCGTGATGTCAAAGGTGGAAAGACACCTCTTCATCGGGGTTTCGAGCAAATCGCCCTCCAGCTTCTTCCGACGGCACATCTTGTTGTATAAGCCGGACATAACATGGCCCAGGATCATCCTGCGAACCGACGGCATGATGACGGATCCTGAAACAGGATTCCAATTTCCGGCTTATCAACATTCTGCTTAATCGAAGAGAAAAAAAGATTGTCCAATTATGTTTTTTAAATGGAAAATGTTATCGAATGTACTTTTATTTGTCGAGAGAATTTTATATTGGATAAAACGTGCACTGCGCGGAAAATTTCCATTAAGTAAAAATAAAGAAAAATCGATAATTAAAACTCTATGGTGTTCCGATACATATGTCACGACAGTGACAAGTAGCAACGTCGAACATGACGCACACACGCATTTCCGCAGCAGATCGATAAAAAAAGGCGATCCTGGAGTATCTCAAGGGCATGTCGAGATGCAGCGGAATGTATTCACGGCGTGGCAGAACGTACTTACGTTGTAATTACACGGACATTCAACGACGAGACCGTCGACTCGGTCGACTACGGCGGATCGTGCAATCACAGTAGATGCTGAGGGGGTCGTATGACTCGCGATATAAAGGATAAGGGATGTTATATTCTTGCGAATGCGCAGTAGATAACCAATCAAGAACCGATCCTAGATGTTAAAAAGCAATGCTGGTATTAATATGGCTAAGAGAACGGGACAAATGAGAAATTAAAAATAGATCCTAATTAAATAATATATATTGTCTCTAAATTAAATTTCCATGATTTTTTATTAATAAATTAAAAATTCATTCTGTATATATA